AGTATTGTAAAATAATATAAAAAAATTTTTATCAATTGTGTAACGATTTTGTGACGTATCAACGTTTCCTCCTGTTACTAATTCCCCCATAAGTAATTATCTACTCAGTATGATCCTGAATTAGGATCTTGTGGAGCTCTAATCTAAGACCCCATTTACTCGGACCAACTCTATTCATGCCCCGATTAGGGTTAGAATTAGAGAATGTAGCATATTTTTTTATTGGTGTTAGTAGTGTGACCCTTATCTTCACGTATATCGATCTGGTGCAGTCTTGAATTATAGGGGCACCAATGGCGCCTATATTCTCCTGTAAAAAATAAAAACGAATGCGTCTAACTAGAAAAAGAAACAATGAAATTTTTAAATGTAACATCACACAAATTCAGTTGCTTACGGCGCAATGAATAATTGCTATTTCCAGGAGAATGTCGCATCCCCGGCATATTCAGACCGGATTATTTCAACTTTAAACATGCATGCAATGCTTTTCGTTATTTTAACACAATTAATTCAGTTTTTCTTATTGTTTTCTAAATACGCTGTCATAAGTTTTGTTCCTACGAGATAAATTTAGGTATTTGCATATATCTAATTCTTTTTTAGAATTTTGTATTACTGTATTCGTGAAAATAGATGGATGTTGCTGATCTTAAGTTTTTGTTTTAAATATATATTAATATAAATAAATATTTTCAGATTCATTTGCTATTTTTTTTTTACCATTTATTATGGCGGAAAACAGCAAAGTTATTGGTAAGAATATTCTATTCTATCAGAAATTTATGCCTACTGAGTAGTAAATACTGTACAAATAATAATGCACAATGAGAGACATATGAATGTTGTCTATTGTTATTATAATTAAACGTATTTTAAAGAAATTCTATTTATTATATATTTCGCATTTGCAGCTAATGCTTCAGATACCCTTCCAGAGATTTCAGCAGAAAACCCTTCAAATATAGATCCTTTAACGATAGAAGATGATCCAATGGACCTTTGTATAAATATTCCTAACTTATATCATTTGCTCGATTTGCGTAAAGATATGGGGTCTAATGGATTTGGTAAGATATATTTAATTGTTTTTATGAAAAATTTAGTTTGCATAAAATTGATCGTAATCCTTTATTTTAGCGGTTGACAAGATTATTATTGCTCAAAATTCTTTAAAGAAATTCTGTAACTATATGGTGCCAAACAGCTTTAAATCAATTTCTGAAATTGATTATGCATCTTTAAATTCTAAATTACTTAACCTTACTGGGATCTATGGAACTCGTGAAAGTATCGCAAAATATTTGTTCCAAAAAAATTTGATTGATGAACAAATGTTAGTATATACTATTAATCGAAATTTTGGCTATTATTTCCTCAATTAAGTACGTGTACTATCGAGGAAATAGTCGTCGAGATGTCAATTTAATTTTTTCTATTTTCACTAATGGTTATTTATATATTTTTAAGCCATTCACAATTAATAATCAGAGATGAAAATAATACAAAAAATAGACCATCTCTTAAGACTGGCATCTATTTATTGATAAAAGATAATAATGGATTGGTTATTCATTGGCCTGAAGAGGATTGTTACAATGTTCAAGTTTCCAATAAAAAAAAGAACAACTCAGTAACCCTTCATAGGTCGTTATGATTTTTAGTATAATTATCTATGTACTTTCGCTAATTTATTATGCTTATTTAATATTTTTGTAGATATTTTACAAAACTGACAGATGTTCATTTCTGTTTATTGAGCAAAGAGGAACTTATGACTTTTGATTTTAATCTTCGAAAGAAATCTCTTAATAAAGATAAAGAAGAAGAAGACGACGGCGATGATGATGATATCGATAGTGAATATGCTGTCAACGAAATCCAACAAGATAAAACAGATTTTAATATTTTTAAAGGATTTGAAGTATGCAACTAATATAATTGTTAATATTATTCGATTGCAATATACATTGATTAATATATTTTTTAAAAAAGCTTAATTTGCCAGAATCTATAAACACCAATTTGACTCTGCCTTCAAGTTTTCCTTCCACTATTTCAATAGAATCTTGTCACCATCAATCATTCCTTACCTGTCACATAAATGAACCTTCAGAAATATCTAAATCCTATGAACATCCAATTAAATCTTCTGAATTACAACCTTTTATTTCGAACTATTTGTACGATAACGACAGTTCCATTCAAATCAGCCAATCAATCGAGTTTAATAGTTTGATCAGCTTAGCTAAAATTCTTCAGATTGAAAAAGAGCTTTTAGATTCGTTTGAAAAAGAAAAGCGAAAAGCCATTGACGATCATGAAGAAGCTAAGAAAACAATTATTGCCATAGAAACTAATTCGCTCAAAAAAATGGTTGAAGATAGATTACTAAACATTTATGGGCAAGTATTCATTCAATAAGGTTACTAATATTCCTTGACACCATTGTCTGACGAGATGTTTAGCCATTAAAGTATTTAAAATTTATGTTTATGATAAGACAGTGTATTTTCTCCAATATTTATTTCAGAAAAAAAATTTTTCGGCA